AGAAGAGCCAGTGTGAACAGAGGCAGGAGGAAGCATGGCTTATTGAAAGGACTGTCATAAAACCACTGTGGTTGGTTGGAGTAGAGTGCATCTGGGCATTAAATGCCATTTGTATCTATACACAAAATGTCTTTTTTTTTTAATGTGGCCTAAGGAGACTCTCTTCCTTGGACACAAAAGTCCAATGGACAAAAGCACCTACTGTATACCCCAGGTGCTGAGAGGGGTACAAGATCAATGAAATAGCTTCATCCTGGGCTCTACCATTTGCTAGCTATGGGACTTAGGGCAAGTTACCTAGTATCTCTGAGGCTCCGTTTATGCATCTGGAAATAGAGACAATAAAAGCATTTGTACAGAGACTTCTCTGGTGGTCCAGTGGTTAAGACTTCGCCTTCCAGTGCAGGGGGTGTGGGTTTGATCCCTGGTCAGAGAGCTAAGGTCCCATATGACTTATAGCCAAAAAACCAAAACATAAAACAGAAGCAATATGGTAACAAATTCAATAAAGACTTTAAAAATGGTCCATGTGAAAATACTCTTAAAAAAAAAAAAAGCAATGATACAGAGTTTTGATGAGTATTAAAGAGGCAAGGCCTATGTGCATGCCTAACTTGACTTGTGGCATATGATGGTGGTTTAGTCGCTAAATCATGTCCAGCTCTTGCAAGTCCATGGACTGTAGGCTGCCAGGCTCCCCTGTCCACGGGATTTCCCAGGCAAGAACACTGAAAGTTGCTCAGTCGTGTCCAACTCTTTGTGACCCTGGGGATTATAGAATCCATGGCATTCTCCAGGCCAGAATACTGGAGTAGGTAGCCTTTCCCTTCTCCAGGGGATCTTCCCAACCCAGGGATTGAACTCATATTTCCTGAATTGCAGGTGGTCTCTTGCATTGCAGGTGGATTATTTATAGACTGCAGCATATAGTCGATAGTGCTTAATAGACACTTTTGATATTAGCCAAATGACCGAGAAAGGATCGGGGCTCAATAAAAACTCGCTCCTTTTTTGGACTATGGTGGGGGTGAAGGTGGGAGCAAGATTAATATAGTGTTCATAACAAGGTAGTAAATGATGCAGGAGAACCTGAAGGATGAGCCAAGGCGGGGGTCAGATGGTAAGCACAGGGAAACACAGCCATGTGTCCACAGGCTGGCATATCCAGGAGCTCTGCATGCTGGGGATAGAGGGGAGAGGATGGAGCTGGAGCCAAGACAAGGGGAGCTGGGAAGGGGGCTGTGTGGGGCTGGGGCCATGAGCACACCTTGAGAGGCCAGCTCCACTCTGGGACAGAAAGCCCAGTGAACAGTCATCAGTACTCACGAAGCCCTCATTCCCCACTGAATCCCAGGTTCTAGCAGGCGCTCAGTGTGAAATGGACGCAGGGATGATAGTTATCTAGGCACAGAGTCACATCCATCACGGGCAGTGTGTGGGGGTCAGAAGCATCTGCAGTGTGGCTTTGAGCAACCTGTCCATCAGGGCCAGGGCTCCCCGCCACCCCATAGAAGGTCACCAGGATCAGCATTCAGTGTTGAAAGTGCCTGAGATTCTAAGAGAAGACCTGAAGCCAGGCCCTCGTCGTGGGGTTTGGGTTCTGGACAAGATTTATTCCAAAAAGAATACAGAACTTGGTCAGACTTACTGAGAAGGCAAAGATTTATCTAGTTCCCTGGATGAATCCTTCAGAGAGAGATGGAGAGTAGCAACATTGGAGGAGGTATAGCCTTCTCTCCATGTGTATTTATATATCACCTCTTTCCATAAATGCACTGTGGTATGTTTAATATTCATTACTCAAGGGTTGTTCTTTTTTTAAAGTCACTGGGGCAATGGAAGCAAAGAAAAATACAGTTGGAAAATTTTAATGGAAACCCGGTGGAGTCAATACCCAAAATATATGCCATAAAGTTCTATAAAATTGCCAGAGGTAGGCTAAAAATTTGGTTCTGAATAGCCTGGTGGCCTGAGCAAGGAGGGAAACAGGGGCAGTCACCAACTTATGGGGTTGGGAAGATAAACCACCACCAACTCAGTGAGTTTCGGCCTTCCAGGGTGTTAAGACTTGGGGTACTTTTTCTCTGGGTCCTCACACAAAGGAGCGCCCATGGGTACACGGGGCTCCAGTGAGCACACTGGTGTGAACTGCTCTTACACTTCCTGCCCCTAGGTCAGGCCGGGCTCAGGAGCCAGGGTAGACCTGAGGGCCTTACCCACAGAGTCAGCTGGGAAACAGCTTAGAGAATGAACATTTCTATTCTCCCAGACACATCTCCTCCTGGAGCATTGCTGCAGACCAGCAGAGGTGTTGCTTCAAAACCTGGGGATGAAGGGACTGGACAACACCAGCTTTAATTCTGCATCTGGCACCGGAAGCCCATGTAAAGTTGGCTTTGGCCAAGATGGAAGGGTAATTAATAAGGAGAATGTTACGGGAGTGAGAGTTACAGAGCCATCCCCAGCTGTGGGGCTTCACTTGGCTTGCCCGCCAGTGACTCACGGGCTTATGAGCAATCCTCATATGCCTGATTTAGAGGACTTACTCACCCTTCAGAGAAAGACCTTAATGCAATAAAGCAAATGTGAGCAAGTGGGACACGGCTTAACGTATCACCCCAGCCTGAGCCCAGCTTCCCCCTCCCTGCCTCTCCCTGCCCGAGGCCCCTCCAGCCACTCAGCACCTGGACAGGCCTGCACAATGGGACACATTCCAGGGCTGAACGGAGGCTCAGAGATACGAAAGCAAGACCTCAGGTGGACCAAGCCCTAAAGTCTGGTCCAGCAAGATTATAGATTAGCTCTAAAGCACTAGACTCGGGGCAGGGTGAGGGCTAGAAGCCAGGATTTCCCTTCCTGTGCAGTGCTTCCCCTGAAAGCCCTAGTTGGATTATGTAAATGCTGAAGGTAAAGCAGCTTTCCCAGTAGGGGTGACATTCTTACCTGAGGTCTTTCCAAGGAATCTGTGGGGAAGGCAAGTTTTATGGGGAGCAAGGCCTCAAGCAAAGCTTTTGAGGTGAGACATTTAGAAAGAGCTGGGCTACCCTTGGCTCGGACACCATCTTGCTATTTGCTGACATGGCACCTGCTGTGGGAGCTGGAGGCCTTTTTGGATACCCCATAGTCAAGGGGCGTGGATTAGAATCGCTGTGTCGGGATGTGTGGTATCAATCCCAGTCAGTTTCCTGTTCCTCATGATTAGGAAACAGTCCCCAAGAGTAGGCTGGAGCAGAGGCATAAGCCATGGGATAAGCAAACACTGCCCCTTCCCTCCTCCACCACACAGAGGACATTACTCAGAAGGCAAGCTGATTCAGCCTTGGATTTAAACCCACTCATGGAAGGATTTACCTAGGAACTCCTCAGGGAATTATCTGTAAGAATTAATCCCAAGGGTGAAAAAGAAGAACAAGCATTTAAAGCAAACCCTCACTTCGTTCGCTTATTTGTCCCTCAGTCATTTTTCCATACTTTTCTCAGAGTCTGCCATACACAGTTACCAGGGAGAAGGCTGACCACAAGCTTGCAACTCAGGTTTGCTGCAGTCAAGGGTCTCAAGTTCTGAGGAACTTCTGGGACCATCTAGCTTAGTTCACTCATTTCATGGATGAAGAAGCTGAGATTCAAGTTGAACTCTTTACCTGGGACTTAAGGGAGTGAAGAGCTCAGGGTGGACAGATGCTCTGACCACCTCCCCACATGCCCTGGGTCTAAGGAATTCTCTTGCGAGCTAGCTTAGGGAAGGCTCCCAACTGGAATATTGAGTAGACAGCCTCATGCCTGCAACGGCACACTCACCACCATCACCTTAAGAGTTCATTTGGATAGAGTCCAGAAAAGTAGGTTGGGTCCCCACCTCAATGTATCCCTGCCTGAACTCATCAACATGAAGAAGCACTTTTGTTCATTTTACTATTTTTATTTTGCACTATAAAAAAAAACGACGGCAATGACCAGTAACATACTGCTTTTCTTCACATTCATAAGGATTTTAGGAAATTATTGCCTTTTCCCCTGGAGAAATAACCTACAGACAAAAAAAAAGTAGTACCACATTGAGAAATCTGCAAATCCCAGAAGTCAACAGCTTGAAGACAACCCCCAGGGGCAGGGAAGAACACAAGTGTCACCAACCAGAGACGAGACAAGCACATATAAAGACAGCAAGCTGGGGTGACGACCATTTCAATGCCACTGACCCAGGAAGTGGGTACCCTTTCTCTGTTGTGGCACCCAATGCCACTACCTCAAATGGGTGATTTTTGGTCTATAGTCTAAAGAACTCTTTTCAAATGACACAAGAGTTGCTTTGAGGAGAGGTGCAACAAGAAAGGTTCAAGTATGAATAAGAATCATGCCCAAGTCCAAAGTCAGGGAAGAACCCACAGTGAGAAGGAAACCGGAAGTGTTCCCGTCTCACTACTTCACCCAACTGACTCCACCTGATCCAAGATGGGAGTCTCAAAAGCATCCGAGGGTTCAAATCGGCATATACATCATGTCCCTAAAACCCTGCAGGGTTACTTTCCTGACTAGGTGGTGATCAGCTTATGCCCTAAAGCAACAGAGACAGATACAGAGACTGCCAAAATTAAAAAAAAAAAAAAAAAAAAGGTGGAAATTGTGCTTCCTTCAAAATGAATTGGCTTCATGACTGCCTTTTCTCCTGGTCTAGCAACTGCTTTCTCCCATGTTGCTGCAGGTATTTATTGCCTTATGCTTGAAATGAAAAGGCGAATTTTGAGGTGCAAAGGGGTCCTGAGGGCAGGGGTCTGGAAGTTCAGTAGTCAGCACACACTGTGCTCTCATAATGGCTTGGCCTTCCTTCAGTCCCGAGGTCAGTCGGAAGTTTGTCTGCAAACCTAGTGACCCTTTCACTGTCCCACCAAGACAGCAGGACAGGGTGAGGTCTTCAGTATTGCACAGGTATGAAATGTCCATGAGTCAAAATACAAAATCACAGTTGTTCTTGGGGCTGGGCTGGCTCCCACAGCTTGGGTTTAGCAGGATGTGGCTGTAGCCAGGGGGCTCCGGCTGAGCTCTGAGGCTGTCGAGTGGGTGGGCACCGGGGCCAGCACCGAGGTAGGGAATGTGCAGTAGGAAGCCTGCATGTCAGGGCTCAGGGTCTGCAAGTGGGTGAGGAACGAAGGGCCGGCAGCCTCTCCTTGGCAGGAGGGAGCCTGGGGGGTGGGCGTGGAAGGCAGGATCTCAGACTCATATTGTAGGAGCTGGCCCATGAAGCCAAAGTTGGGTGAGACCACACTCCTCCTCTGCTTGATGTAATCAAAGGCATCCTTCAGGTGGAACTGCTTGGTCTTCATGAGGTAAGCCATGCAGATGGTGGGCGAGCGGGAGATTCCAGCCTCACAGTGAACCAGGACCTTGCCTCCCTTTTCCCTGACACAGTCTGGAAGAAAGAAGAGACAGTGGGACTGAGTTGGGATGGGGACTCAAAGGCAATTGGGTTTAAAAAAAGTGACTGAGTTATCAAGTCTCATCGCATCTGCTCAACAGCAGTGGTCCCACACTAGGTTTCTGCTAATCTTTAATCCCCACTGGTGAGGACAGACTTTGGAGTCCCACTGATGTCCATCCCTCTGTAGGACCTTCACAAACCTTAGTTTGTCAGGGTACTTGCACAGGTTCTGCCACTAGAGAGGTTCTAGACCTGGAGTAACCCCTTCTTGGGGATGCCATCTTAACTTGGGTTCCACAAATGGGTTTCAGGAAGGCTTTGGGAAAATCTTTCCAACTGCCTGCAAGTTTTTATTGCACATTCACATTTTTCTGAGAGGCTCAAAGATTGACTTGGAAAAGCAATTCCTGTCTCTCAGGGTCTGATTCTAATGGTGATGACCTAGTCCCCATCCTGGGAGAGGCCTTCCAGCCTCCCCGGGCTCCTTGCTTGGCTGTGCCAGGGCGGGATGCTTGGCTCAGCCCCCAGGGTTCCCACCAATGAAACATACAATAAATAGTGTGCAGCCGCTAATTATAGCCTTGGCTAAGTGACGCTTACGAGACGGAGGATATAAATGGCTTTGGCAAACTCCATCTTGCACAACAATGGGAGTCGCTGCTATAAAGCTACCACCGTCAGTTAGCATGGTTTAGCTCAATATGACAAAGCCGGGGGGGGGGGTGCCCTCCTTTTCTGTTTTACTCCTACCCCCAAAAGAGCTCTAACTGTTAAAAATGGCAGGGGTAAAAGGTTAAACATACATACATATCAAATAAAAACCACAAAAAAGAGTCTTTCCAATTCCCTCTCTTGCTAGTGAGGAAACAATTACATCACAGGAAGTTAGACATACCTGGCACTATGTCAGGCCATCGAATGCAAAAACATTTAAGATTTTGAAAGGCCAATAAAAAGTCAGCCCCCTTACCCACCTCTTTCCTCATGTTTAAAAGGTTTGCAGATGCATCTCTAAGATCTAAACAATCAGGTTTCTGAGCAGTCAGGAAGGATCCCTTGAGTTTCCAAAATGAAAATCTCAAAGGATGCCCCAGGATAGCTCCTTAGAGGTGCCCCCAATATAGTCTCTGATTCAAAAGAAAAAAAAAAGTTCTTGTAAACTAGTTCAAAGGGGACTCCAAGTTCCTAGGATTACAGGGTCATGACTCCACAATTTTCTCCTACTCCTCCACTGGCCTCCTTGTCATCCAGCTTTTAGTTGGCCCAGAGCCAAATCCCAGAAACCAAAGAACCTACAGTACATTGCTTCTGGATTCCATTCCACCCCTTGGGGCTCGCCTTCCATGTGGCCCTTGGAAGGGGTCAGTGCAAGCGCGGTTTGGCCTCAGTCCCTTGCTCCTTCAGCAGAGGAGGGGTCTGGGGAAAAGCAGCCCGTGTACCTTCAGAATGCTGTGGGTTTGTGTGGTTGTGTACACAACAGACACAGTGCACAACCGGATGGGGAGGGAGGCTTCTGAGAAGTGATGGGAGCTGTTTCATGACCTCACCGAGAAGCTATCTAGGTAATTAAATAACAGGCTGAGAAGGGCAAGGCATTCCCAGGGACAGGGAGAACAAGTCAAGGATTTCCCACCCTGAGCCCACTATTACGGCTGCCCCTTGGAGGCTCCAGAGGAACCGTCTCAGCCCAGAGGCTCAGGGGCCAGGGACGGCAGGCTCAGCCTTTTGCTCGCAGTGAGTTTCTTGGTGGATTTCCATGGAGCAGAAATTGTGTGTGATGAGCAGAGGGCCCACCACGTGGCAGAAGAGGGGGGCCCTTTAATGGCTCCCTGCACTAAGAAATCACTGCTACACTCAACACCAGCCTTTCCCCTCCACCATCCCTCACAGACAGAAGCAGGAAGACCACTGCTCAGCTTCAACAGCTGTGCACGTTAAAGGGGAAAAAGGACTCTGCAAAGGGAAGCAAGTCCACAAGAGTAGGGAGCGGTGTCCAGCCTAGTCCCCAAGGGAGATGGATGGGAGAAAAAGATGTCAAACGAAAAGAGCAGTCCAGTCTGCTCTGAGAAGCTGAAATCCCAAGGCCCAAAAGCCCTTTCTAGGCAGAGGGACCAGAGGTTCCCTGGCCTACACAATGGAGTAAGTGATAACTACCTTACGGAACATACAAAGGATGCAAAAAGATGCCAACTTCTCTGTGCATAAAGCACAGAGCTTGAGTCGCGTGTTACCGTTAATCCAGAACAAGCTGAAAATGCAAAACAAATTGCCCCCGAAGCAGTTTGCCAAAAACCTTGGAAAGCTGCTGGGGCCCCGGGGCTTCAGTGCCTAAGTAATGCTCTCTCGATCCTTCTGTTTGCTTTTAAAAATATCCCAGTCTACGTAGAAGCACAGTCTGCATGGTTCTTTCCCTCCCCTGCGTCCCTGGCATGGAGCATCACTCATGAACGCACTCTGCTTCCCTCCCAGCCAGAAACACTAACAGAGCGGTAGTGAGTACTGCCTTAAGATGATATTGACTAATACATTTACCCTGCAAATTAATGCTCCTATTAAACAGCAACTCAAATCCTCCCCTCTGTCGTTCTGGTAGGTGAATCTCTTCTAGGCTCCCACTTGTGGTGGTTGCACAAACAAGATGCTTTTCTTCTCAGCAATGGGGTGACCTCCATCAGTACATCGAAATCCAAGAACACACCCCCCTAAATAACTGAGGACAGCAGCACCTACCGATGAAGTCTATTGCTTCTTGAAAGTGGGAGCTGATGTCAGCCGCATGGCTGTCTTCCACGGGGATCCATTTGTAGTGTAGGTGAGTCGTGCAGGCCTCGGAGGTCCGCCGGGAGACGTTGAGCAGGGCTGTGATGTGCAGGTTGGCAAGGAACTCGCACTTGGATGCATGGTAGGCACTTCCAAGGTAAAGGAACGGAAGGATTTCAACTGGGCCGCCCTGGAAGCAGGGGCAAAGGACAACCAGGAAATATTGATCAGCTTGCTCTTTGGGGTTTTCAGGTGGGAGGTTCCCTCTCTGGTTTCCAGGTAGAGAGTTGAGAACCAGGGCAGTTTAACCAAGAGTTTGGGTAGAGCCTCTGTCCTGGTAAACTCTCTACCCTACGTCACTTGGGACGTAGGGACTTGGGGACTTGGAGGGGACCTTGGGACTCAGGGACAGCAAATTTCACACAGCTGAGATTTTCATTTCCTTACATATACTGAGGTGGCGGGAAATGTCGGCAGCCCTTCTAGACTGACAAGGATGAGAAGCAGGGTGGCGTGATGGAAGACTTGAGAAGACCATGTTGAAGTTCCAGCTGCCCCATGAGTGCCAGGCCAAGGCCTGAACCTTGGAGGCAACCTTGATTTCCTTCTAGATAAAATGGAAAAGGGTCCAACAAGGTGAGCCCCTTCCTTTACAATCTTGACCTTGGATGTAATGTGTTTCATCAAACCTAGGACACTGTTGATCCTAAGAGGCATTTGGATCTCAGCAACATCAAAGTGTGCCCTCCCACCATCCCAAAAAGTATACTTCTCAGAAGTGAAAATAACCACTGTCTATCCGAAATCCTCAGATAAGGAAAAGCTGTTAGGCCATGAGCAGAGGCTTGGCCTTTTTTTGTTGGTTTTTTTCTTGGCTGTGCTGCTCAGAATGTGGGATACAGGATCTTAGTTCCCTGACCAGGGATCAAACCCATGCCCCCTGCAGTGGAGGTGTGGAGTCTTAACCAGTGGACCATCAGGGAAGTCCCAGGCCTGATCTTTAGTAGAGCTGAGTTTTGCTGAGAGATGCTTATATCCTTACTCTTTTGGGAGACAACCTATACCTGAGGTTTCTAGTTACAAAGGATCCAAAGAACCAGAGACCATTTACCCTGAGGCAAAGCTAAAAAGAACTGCTGGCTAATCAAACTCTGGCAGTCTCAGCATTTACAGGGTGGCCAGAAAAGCTATCGTTCCATAGTTGGAACAATGGGAACCCTTGGAGATATACAGGACAAAACAGAGCTGGGGTGACGGTGGCTGTGTCTTTGGCAGCCTTTCTCATATCATCCATCCGTTTCCTGTGTTTCCATTTCCTGTCCTGGAATAAGAGTGGAATGGAAACTCTCTGCCAGACCCATGATAGGGAAAGGGGCATGGGATGAGGGCCGGCAGAAGGCAGCAATTCTCAGAAAACCCCGCATGGGTGTCTGCTTTTCCTTTCCTGAGATGTCGGGTGTTTAAGGCAAAGGCCAGTTTGACCACTTGAAAGAAACTGAAAGAGATTTTACAAACGGCAGTAATAGTAACAACCAGTACTTTTGTTAGCTGGCCCCTGGGCTTAACACTTAAGATGCAACTACATAGATGTCTCCCTCTCTTTAGAGATTGGAAAATGCTGCCACACCAGACCTGGGATCCTACTCAGTTTCTCCTGGAGCTTAGCCCAACCAACACCCCTGAAACCTTATTTCTTTCCTTTTTTGAATCTTCTTCTTAGACTTAAGAGGAAGAAACCAAAGGCCTTTAGAAACCTCAAAGGTTAACATGACCTCCCCCAGCTTTTCTCAAGGCAGAAGCACTTCTAAGAAGTAACACTAGGGGCTTCCCCAGATGAGTCTTGGAGACACTTCAGGGCCTCCCCCGGGTCTTGCTTGGCCAAAGGGCTGTTGTGCTTTCACAGCATCCTGCAAATTCTCGTTTCTCTTTCACTTTCTGAGAAAGGGAGGGGGGAAAACACCACCCAAACAAACAAACGCAAATGGAAATCAGCTAAGCCGGATGCCCGCGGCTTGAAAACCCAGGGTTCATCATACTCTGTAATTTTAACAAAGAAAACAAACAAAATAATAACCTTGGCACCTTGCCAAGCAAATAGGTTTCCTGACCAAAGATTCCATTCAAGGAAAAGCCACCTGGCTAAACTTGGAAGTCTATTCCCAGAGGCAGAGCTCTGCTCATGGCAGGCGGCTGGCATCTTAGGCAGCAGCATCTAGAAGTCTTCCTTCTTATGATTTGGCTATGTTCTTATTTTGTGTGAAGAACCTAAAAAGTTCCTTCTACCAAGTCAGGTACCCACTAGAATGACCCTCTTCCAAAAGAAGGCAAGTGGCAAACAGAACAGGGTCCTGAAGAGGACCAGAGCAAGGGATGAAGAGAAGGGAGTTCTGAACTTAGTGTTGCCATGAACCGAGCTGCAGGATTCTTGGCAAAAATCAATCACCCACCAGCTGTGACAGTTTTCCCCTCTGTAAAATGGGAAAGTGGGTTTTGCTCTCTGGTCTCTGTGCAGATCTGGGTCCTTGCTTGCTTTCCCCCCCATCCTCCTGCATCATAGGTAACCCCCTGGTTGAGCCATCCACTTTTTTTTTGCCTTTAGCGGGTTGCTAGAAAGTACAATTCTAGGAAGGGAAAAAACCCACACGTTTGTAACACATGAAATCCTCTCGTGTCTCTTGATCTCTGTCTTCAGAATTTATGGAATTATAAGCATCAGAAACCCCTAAAGGAGGCTGCATAGCCATCCAAACAGTAGTTTCTCTACAACCCTCCCCCAATCTTCCTCCTTCAGTTAAAAATACCAAGACACGTCTTTACAGGTACCAGGCTGGTTTGCAGAAACTGCAGAGCATGAACAATTACACAGAAGACCAACACAGGAAGCCTGAATGTCAGCTCTGAAAACGTCTTCAGGGAAACCTAAACTGCTATTTCGACGCTTCTCTGCACCTCCCAGGTCAGCTAACAATAATATATCTTTCACTTCCCCTTTTCTCCAGAAGCCACGGAGCATCCTGAAGCATGTTCGCTCTTGACAGCTTATTTGCTGGAAGGAAGCCCATGTACTCTTGGATGGAAACTCGAGTTGGCAAGCAACAGAGGTTCTCTAAAGCTAGAGGCCTCTGCCAGCTCCCTGATCCGCAGAAGAACCAACCAACGTTAGTGATCGGGGAGAGGGAGAGCCAGGGTGCTATGCAAGCAACAGAGCCAGGGGCCTGGATGGTGCTTCCACACCACGTACCTGGTCATAGGCCGGCCTGTAGCTGATGTTGAGCACTGACTTCCCACACTGGCTGATGAGGGCTCTCTCAGTTTCAACCTTCTCTTGTGAAATGGGTTTTACATCCACGCAACACTCAGGATATTCTGAGTAGAAAGTCTCATATCCCCCTAAAAGACAAAAATTAAAAAGCAAGAGAGATATAAGCATTGATTGCTTTTTTTTTTTTTTGCTTCAGTCTGTCAGAAAATGCCTAGAATTGATCAATACCCTGAGAGTGGAATACTAAAAAAAGGTATTAAGTTACTATACATTCTGATCTTATAAAAAAACTGAGCCAAAACAAGTAATAGTTTTAGAATAGAAATGGGCTCCACAGACACACATACACTCTCTCTCTCTCCTAAAAAGCTACAGTTCAAAGGCAATGATTAACTTTTTATGTCTATCAGAAGAAGCTTAAACTGTGAAAGGAAATATATCTGACAGCTGGCAAATATTAACCAAACCCCTCCAGACAACAAAAGCCATTTTCTCACATTTATCTAAAATTCAGGTGTGATTCTGTAGAATTTCATTAATTTTTGAAAAAAGCTCCTAAACTGGTCTGTTTCATCCATAGCCAATCAGCTTTAAACAGGATTATAGATGAAACACCCTCTATAACGGAATGGGGGCTTACATGAGGTTTTAACCTCAGGGCCATAAAACAGCCCTGCCCTTTCTCCTTCCCAAGGTGCTAAGAACACTGATGACAGTCCTCTCCACAGGTCCAGTGTAATCAATCTAGTTAATTACCTTCTAAACCAAACTAGAGGAATGAGGCCTTCTGAACTTAATTCTTATCTCCACCGCCAACCCCCGCTGCTTTCCCCTTGCCGGCCACCTACTCTCCCTTTATCTCCTTACTACCCTCCCCTCCTGAACCTTCTCCCCAGCTACACACGCCCTTGTGTGTGCATACACACCCTCAAACTGATAAGTCAACTACCCGAAGGTTTGATTCTATAAAAATCCTAACTACATTTAAGCTTCTCCAATTGGATCACTTAAGGTCAGAACTACTCTGACCAAATCAGAGAAACTTGAGTATGTAAAGTCTTGGGCCAGTACAGGAAGTGGTGAAGAACCAAACAAAAAAATTGGCCCTGAAGCCTGAGAATGCCAAGTGCTGCTGGGTGAACAGGCCAGCCTTGTGTGGGGAAACCCTCTGCTTCCACTCCAAAGGGACCTACGGCATTTCCTAGAGCCTCCAGAAAACCTGCTTCTTTTTCCAGAGAATTGGGGTCAAAACATTATTTTTTTTTTGCCACACTCTGTGACTTTCAGGATCTGGAGGGATTGGGGGCAGGAGGAGAAGGGGACGACAGAGGATGAGATAGCTGGATGGCACCACCAACTCAATGGACATGAGTCTGAGTAAACTCTGGGAGTTGGTGATGGAGAGGGAGGCCTGGAGTGCTGCGATTCATGGGGTCGCAAAGTGTCGGACACGACTGAGCAACTGAACTGAAATTTGAACTCAACTGAACTTAAGTTCCCAGACCAGGGATTGAACCTGGGCCCTGGCAATGAAAGTGCCCAGTCCTAACCATTAGACTGCCAAGGAATTCCTTCAATCATCTGTTAAAGAAGCATTCTGAGACCATGTATTTTTTTCCCTAACGGCCCCCCTTTTTTCCTTCTGCCTTTTGGTGCTGTGATAGCCGCACAGGCAAATGGTTAATGGATTACTCGGCAGTCTCAGCTCTTTCAGAAGCTTCAGCCAATTCCTAGAATGAGTCATCTCGCCATTACTGCTTCCTCTCGTTGTGCTGGAACTGCCCCCGCCCCCACCAAGCACGCCAAATCTCCCCTGTGGTCACTGCAGCAAACAGCCACCCGGGCCTCCCCAGATGAGCTTCTGGACCTCCACAATGACCAATTTCCCGGTCATGATGACAGGTCATGCTGGAGGGGGGCAGAGGTGGAAAGTTTGGAGGTATCTGTGGCTTAGTTTCCCCTCCTTCACCACCACTGCCTCTGCTCCCTGCACGGACCCTCAGCTTCCTCCGAAAAGGTGTCCCTAGTAAGCAAAGCACTTCCTGCGCCTCAACATTTGCGTTTCTAGGAGACACAATGAGCGATAGGGGACAGGAATCTGAAGTAAAGCAGCCCAGGCCCTCTCAAACTTCAGAACGAAGCTTGGGAAAGAAAAGCCTTCAGGTCACCCCATTTCTTGGCTTTAAATAGAGCACTTAAAAGAGCTGGCTGTTAGGAGGACAGACAGGAGGTGCGGGTGTGGGCTAGGTCCTGCCTGCCTGTTGACAAAATAAGGCAGGTAGACAAAGAGTCTTAGTGTGAGGGACAGATAAACAGTGTCCTGCCTCTTCAAGCTGGGGTCAGGAGTCCTCCAGATTAGATGGTCTCTGTCTTTCACCCACTCCCACCAGAGGGGTGGAGAGATGGAACATTCCTCTCTGGTGCCTTACTTGAGATGCAAGAGTTGTAGCAACTCTTGGCTGCTTCATTTGTCTTCAGGGTGGTTCTGTTTTTGATCACCACCGCAATACCAGGGGAGTTGAGCAGAGAAAGAGGACGGACACTATCTATAAATACACACTGACAATGTCATCTGGTCAATTCATTTTAGTGGGGTTTGTGTGTGTGTGTGTGTGTGCAGAAGGCATTAACAGAAGTGTACAAGACATTGCCCCCACGGTCTGAGATGCCACTAGATCAAAAACCTGAGCTCCTATCTGGACGTGAGTTAGGAGAAGAAATTATTTTCTTTGGCAACAACTTAAAAGTTCAGCATTGTTGTAAGGCTAAGTATCAAGCAATTTCTACTGAAATTTAAAATGGACATAAACTGTGATCTGGCGATTCTCGTAATTTTACTAAAAGATAGTGGACACACAAAAGCATTTGGACAGAGATATCCTCTCCCACACTGCTTCAAATACTAAGGTATGAACCAATCTACTTACCAGCTATCATCAGGGGATGAGTTTAAAAAGTGAATAGGAAATGTATGCTCTGATATGGACAAGTCTCTCAAGATCTAGTTAGGTGACAGAGGCAGGAACAGGAAATAAACAAAATCATTCTATTTTTAAAAGACATACAAAATATTCTATTTTTAGTACTTTTTAAAGATTTTAATTTTCATGGAAAATTGATTTATCTAAAGATGAACAAGAAATAGTTGACTGTTGCCTCTGGGCAGGGGTGGAACTGAGTTCTAGGGTGTGCAGAAGATCCACTTTTCATTGTACAGCATGTTACTTTCATTAAAAAACTTTTTTAAAAAACATTTTTACTTGAGATGTGAGTGTACAGAGCTGCCTACTTCCTGTGGCATTAACTTCCAAATGGCTTGCATGGCCCCTTGGAGAGGGCTGGAGACCAGAGGCAGGACCGGAAGGGGTTTCCTGGAAGGCATCTTTCATGCTGCTGGAGAGGGAGAAGCTTTACCTGTACTCATGGCTAAGAAGAGGAGACCAAAAAGGGTATCAGGAAGACAAAGAAATCAGGGGCCCTGTGTGAAAGCTCTGCAGAGTTTAGAGGTCACTCTCCATCTCCTGGGGGCTGAGGCTGGGCGCAAGAGAAAGATCTTCTGCCCCTGGTGTTTCCCTAACAGGAATCAACTGGGGACAGACAGCCTGTGAGAGGTGCTAACTGAGGTGGGAGCTGCCCCTGTGCCTCTGGAATCTCCCAGCCTGGAAAATGTAAAACCCCACACGTTGCACGCTTCTAAAACAGCGCCCTCATGTTCTCAGCTCACCGCACCTGAGTTCTGAATCCCAGCTACATCTCAAGGCGACCTCCCAGAGCTGGTTGGGGTGAGTCCTCGTCGTCTCTTCCCTACAGGCTAAGCCTTCCATACACTTGAGGTTAAAACGGACTCAAATAAAAGGCGGCAGCAATCACAGGAAGTGATCCAGAAATCAATACTCCGGAATTTGACAGTAAATTACCCAGCCACCACCAGTCATCTCCCCCAGCAGGTGTAACGTGCAGACTGGTGAAGCAGCTACTGGAGGGTCTCAAACCCAATGAGCCGCAGTCCCCTTCACAAGCACCCTGTGTACCCTCTCCTAGGTCCTGGCTCGCCAGCCAGCCTGCCGCCCGCCCCCGGGAGACCGCGTTAGGTGCCCCAGCTCTGGCCCACGACCAGTCCAGGGGATGATCCCGGGGGGGGAGAGAGGAGGTGAAAAAGAGTGGGAAGACTAAAGACTGTCAGCTCCAAATGGAGCTAGAAAGGCCTGGGAGGGGAGAAGGGGAAGCCGAGGAACAATAAAAAGCAATAAAATGAAATGAAAAGGAAGAGGGGGGAGGGACTCACCAGGGTCAAAAAGGCAAAAGGGTCGTTGAAGACACAGCCTAACGTACGTTAATTGTCCAGGCGGGAGGAAAGGGGACACCGCGGCGCCACGCTCATTGCGGGGGGGGGGGGGGGTTGATGGCGACCCGCGGATCCCTTCAGATCTGTCCATCAGAAGGCTCCAGAGCGTCGGCCCCAGCGAAAGACGTGAAGCCGGCGCCGGGAAACCCGGCTCGTGCTGGGCGCTCCCCAACCGTTAAGAAGCAGCGCCCCCAGCAGCGTGCAGCAACTCCCCCCCGCCTCCCCCCCGGGCAGCCAGACCGTCAAACGCTTTCGAGGAACGCAGGTGGGGACGGAGAAACTGCGAGCGCTGACACCGGCCGTGGCCTTCCCGGCGCACGTCAAGCCCCAGGGTGCAGAACTTCCCCGGCGCCAGGATCGAGGAAGGCGCCGGCGCCAGCAGGGGACCCCAGAGCCCGGGGTCGTCCTGGCGCGGGGAGGGTGACCGAGGACCGGCGGCTCGGACGCAGCTCACCTTTGAGGAAGTAGACCCGCGGGCCGGCGGGCAGGCAGGCGAGCAGTGAGGTGAGCACGACGCGCGCGGCGCTCTCTTCGCGCAGCTTCTGCCAATGCCGGCTGCCCTGGTCCAGCACGACCACGGCAGCCACGCCGCCGCCACCCTCCTGCAGCAGCCGCGCGCGCGCCGCCTCGTCGGGCAGCACGTAGCGCGCCGACACCGCGCCGCCGCGGGCCCGCCGCAACACCACCGAGTTGAGGTTAACGTTCAGCGAGCCGCGCACGCTCGAGGCGGCGAAGGCCAGGTAGGGCCGGCAGTCGAGCACCACACAGCGCGCCGCCGCCTCCTTGCGAAGCATCTTGCGCAGCTGGCGCCCGTCGAGCGACGTGACCTTCATGCCGCCGCCCAGCGGCCCCGCGCCGTGCGCGCCGCAGGTGCCCACAGCCAGGGTGCCCGCCGGCGAGGCCCAGGAGGACGACCCCACAGGGCTGCGGCCGGCCGACCGAGCCCGGCGCCGGAGCGGACGCTCAACTCTTCTTTCCCGCCCCGTACGCTCGGCGCCCGGCCCGGCCACTCGCTGCCGCAGAAGCCGGGGATTCCGCCGGCAGCGCAGCGTTTTATGTGAATGGGTGTGCGGCCTGTGACGTGGCTGCCCATATAAGGCGGAATATGGGTATTTCCCCGCCCCTTCGGACTGCAGTCACGCCCCCAGGGGGCGGGACGCGCGGGGCGGGCGGCCAGGGTTAGTCAGCCGGAGAAAGAGGAAGTAGAAGGCGCCTCGCTGTGTTCTCTGCGGCGCTGCGCGCAGACACTCACTTGCGCATCACCGTGGACTGCCGGTGGGTTGTCAGGAATGCCAGGAGGCCGAGGTGACCCACGCTGTGCGGGAAGAGGAGGAAGCGGAGGAGGCAGAGCTAGCGTCGCACCATAGGCTTTGAGTTTCATAGACGTAGGTTCTGGACCTTCTGGGGGCCGTGCCTGACAGTGCGGTAGGCAGAGCTAGGGGCGCCCTCGGCCGTGCCCCCAGATGAATCAGAAGCAGATTTCAGGCATTACGGAAGTCTTTACGCGGGAAATGAGATGATAGCTGGAATTTGCTTCGAGGTCTGGGTTATTGATGACTCAAGTTTGGGCTTGTATTGGTAATCATTGGAGCTTGGTTATGGGCACCTGGGTGTTCATTATACTGTTTTCTCTACTTTTCTTTATACTTTGAAACTGTCCACCATAAAAGTACCTAAAAGTAAAAATAGGAAGAGAAGAGCCTGCAATTAATCTCCCCAAATGGATTCTGCCCTCAAAGGATCGATGGTCCTTTTCTTTGTCACACTCCCAGCTAAAAATTAGAATGGTTGTAAGGACCTATTGTACAGCACTTGAAACTCTACTTAATGTTTTGTGACAGCCTGGATGGGAGGGGGGCGTTTGGGGAAGAATGGATACATGTACATGTCTGGCTGAGTTCCTTTGCCCTTCACCTGATACTACCTCAACATTGTTAATCGGCTATACCCCCCAATTAAAAAAATAATAATAAAGCTAAAATTTCACTGAAAAAAAATTAGAATGGTTGTTTTTTGAGGAACCATTTTCTGTCACCCAGAAAATATCTGTGGTGAACTCAGCTGCAGCGTCTGCATGCACTGTTGATGGAGCTCAGCCCAGCCAACTGTCCAGGTGGCTTCTGGGACTTAGGGGATTATCTGTGGATAAAGTATAATCCCAGGCTGTCTGCCCCCACCAGTTCTCAGCAGCTTTAGGCTTCCCATCCCAAGTCTTAGGGAACTGGACACACTCACCCATTCAGCAAGTATTTATTGAGGGGCAGTTCTGTGTCCCGGTAGCTGCAGAGACACTCTTAGAGAAACAGGCTTCTCCCCTCAATCTCAGAACTAACCATTTTATTGTGAGCCTGAGAGAAGAGGGGACTGCCTGATGGAAAATAGGCTGCCTCCCCTAGGGAGGGGCTTGTTTGCTACAAAGGGGAATAACGTTTTTAGAAGGAAGCAGAAATTGAATTCTAAAATCAAATGCAATCACACCAGACAGCAGCTAGCTGGTCATTGCCTCTGAGTCTCAGCTGCCTTCAGTCAGAGGGACTGTCCTTGCCTTGCCAGTGGAGTCTTAATGAAGGTGTGGCGGGTTTTCTTTCTCTTTGTGGTTATTCATGCCAGCCTTTCCTGCAGTCTGCCCCTCCTTTACTGTCACCAGAACTATCTACCTCCAGACATTTCGACCTCCGACCACACATGTATGGAACACCCACATGGCCAGGCTCTGTACTGGTCGCTGGACACTAATGTGATCAGGACTGCTCCAACTGCCCCCAGCTCAGAGAAGAGGCTCAGCCCAGCCACAGACCTATAGTCAGTGTGACAGAGCACCCATGTGTGTGAGGTGGGGTAGGATGGAGCTCTGGAGAAGGCCACTTAGAGCAGAAGAGAGCTGAGGTGAGCTTACAGGAATGAATCGAGGAGAGCCAGGCTGTGGAGGGAGAGAGTGGAAAGCGTTCCAGGCAGAGGTAACTGCTTGCTTAGTTGCTTAGTGCTTGGTGTTAGCCACTCAGTTGTGTCTGACTCTTTGCAACCCCGTGGACTGTAGCCCACCAGGCTGCTCTCTCCATGGGATTCTCCAGGCAAGAATCCTGGAGTGGGTAACCATTCCCTCCTCCAGGGAATCTTCCTGAAACCAGGAATCAAACCCAGGTCTCTCACATTGAAGGCACACTCTTTACCATTGGAACCACCAGGAAAGGTAAAGGAAAAAAAACAAAACAATAAGAACCCAGGATGGTGTGTGCTGGCAGTATGTAAGAGACTAAGGCATTTCTGGTATTTATTAGAAGATTAAGCAGGTCAGGTGACAGAAGGACTCGTGTGTAGTGTAAGGCCTTTGATCTTAGCCTTTGGCTGGAACAGCCCCAGATGAGGATGTTACTCAGGGACCTGGTCAGGTGAGCATTTGGGGACCTCATTTAGGTCGTCCTGTGGAGGAAGGATGTTTTATTTGAGGGTGGGGGTGGGGTCCAGACTAGACTCAGGGAGACAGATAGGAGGCTTTTGTGGGTAATCCAGGCCTGAGCTGATAAGGCCCCAGCCGGAACTTGGCAGTGATAGCAGCAATTGAAGAGGCCACACAGATGGGAGAGACAGTTAGGAAGTAAATTGCCGGAAGGGCTGGGATGAGGGAGAGAGGGGTAGAAAGTGACTGAGTGAATGGTGACACCTTTAGATAGGGACCCTGCAGGAACAAGTCTGGGTGTGTAGCAGGAGGAGTTGGGGGTGAAGTTTAGATTATTAATAAGTAGAAGTTGATTGTGGGCAACCCAAGGGGATAGTGGTAGAGTGGCCTGGCAAGCAGTGCAGGAAGGTCATCTGTCAACGGATTTATCTGTCACTTCCCATGCCCAACAGTTCACCAAGTCCGGGGACTCTGCCTTTCAGATCTCCTTCCTCACCTGCACTTTCTAGTCCCATGGCCAGGGCCAGCTTCCTGAGTGTGTGACCTGTGTAGCTGCACAAGGCCGTACTTAGAAGGGCACAATGCTTGCTTTAATGCTTGCTGTCACTCTATTGACATTCTTAATAATTTTCGGACAGGGAGCCCTGACTTTTCCTTTGGTACCGGGTCCTATGGCCCATTCGTTGTTGTTCAGTCTCTAGTCGTGTCTGACTCTTTGCGACCCTGTGGACTGCAGCACGCCAGGCTTCCCTGTCCTTCACCATCTCCCAGAGTTTGTTCAGACTCATGTCCATTGAGTCAGTGATGCCATCCACAGTATTAGCTAAAGGGCCCCTTTAGCCCTGCCACTGGGCCCTACAGTAGCATCCTGTTTCCCAGTCTTGAGGTTCTCCCCTTGCTCTCTTATCCTCTGCAATGTGATCTTTCAAAGCTTAGATCAGAGCACAGAGCCCACCTTCTCTGCTCAGAAACCTTCAGTGACACCTACGCACTGTCTGATAAAAATCTAGATTCCTTAGTGGAACACCAAGATCTGTGTTCTAACCAACTGGTCATCACCCACCTCCAGCCTTGTTTCTCTCCTTCCGTCCCCCTTTCCCAACTCCAGCCTCCAGTCACACAGAACTGCCCATTTCCTAAACCTGTCCAGCATTTTGCTGCCTCCACTCTTTTCTATAGGACTTGAGTGCCTCCCTCACTGCTTTGTTAGGAATCCTTCTCCACCTTCACACACCAGCTCCAGAGCTACAGTTTCACCTCCAAGAAGTGACCCCTTGATCCGCCAGCCCGTTTATCAGTTGCCCTCCTGGGGGTTCTCACGCTCTTGCAGTTTGCCCCTCCCCCATCCCATCACAGGAGTGTTATCTGTCCTGCTGTTAGTCTGAAGGCTCCCAGGCCACACTCAGGACTTTTCCCACTATCAGTGACCCCATCATAACACCCAGCACATGGCAGGAGCTCACGCAGTTTTGGCGGAATGAAATCTGGTGCTTGCTGAGACTTGAAAGCAACAGGCTTCTTAGTAGGCATGCCGGGGGGAAAAAGTTGGCCACAATATAAATAAGGGCCTTACACCCTGGATCAGGAGACAAGACAGGAAGCTGTGGACCCACAGGCCCTAGGATCAGGAAGTAAAATTCGGAAGAGGAGGATGTCTGACTCCTCCCCAACCCCAGCCCCACCACTGCTTGGGAATGGGAGTAACTAGCGGGGGAGGGGGGGGTTCAGGAAAAAAAGCAGAATTTACATTATCATGAGTATATGAGGCAAGACCTTGCTCTATCTGTCATTCTCTCTCCGATGCCAGTTCTACTCAGAGCTGGGCAAGAAGATTTTTGTGTTTCTTGTCCCTCCTTTGACCGGTCATCTTAGCCCTCAGGCCCTGATTCATTATTGTGATCTGATGTTATTACCTGGTGGAGGGTCATAGTGCTCCTTTCTAAAAAGTGTAGGCCTGTTCCTTAGAAAAATGCACACGCAGTTTTCAGCTTCCAGTGTTAGGAAGTTTCACAGACCTGGAAACACCTATGTCTGCCCCTGCTGCCTTCCTTTGCCTGTAAAGTGGGGCCAGGTGGCCTGTGGGGGTGGATCAGAGGGTACCCCAGAATGCTAGGGCAGGGGCCCAGAGTCATTCTGAAGACAACCCAAGGGTCCACTAGCAGCCCCAGCCCTCCAGTGGATGCATTTTGCCACCTCACTTCAGTGGCTTTTTTGTTTCTCATCATGAAAGTAGCACAGGCTCATTATTGAAAATGTGGGAAAAGCAGAGATGTGAAAATGATGTTTTTTTTTTTCTTTAAGAGCACTACTTTCTCTGGTTTCTTCAAGACTGCTGTTGGGTCTGGACCCGAGACTTGCTTCACATCATCTTGGCAAAAAGGAGAGAGCACTGGACTAGGAGTCAAAGGGCTGGATTTTTGTTCAGCCTCTGCTATG